ATGTCTTAGTTTTTGTCTTCCTCAGCAATGATAACACGAAATTATTCGCTTGAGCACCTGAGCAAATATTCTTGGCTAAGTCATCAAAATGTCACTTTTCCTCCTTTTTTTCGTACCTGATGTGCATCTATGTAAACTGTACCTATTGTGCCTATTTGCGCAACTTTCGATTGTGAAATCTTCGTTGGAGGTTAGGCTGAGTTTTTTCGAAAATGACGAGACGAAGTGTTTGGAATGACAGTCTCTAACACTGCGGTGTTTTTTTTATTTTCTATGACTTGGAACAAAATAAGTTCTCGAGCCGGACTCAATTTGAGAAATTCTGCTGTTTCTCAAGGTCTTTAACGAAAAAGTAATAGGTAAATATTTCTTCAACTCACTGGTTCTCAGTTTCCAAGAGAATTAATTATATCCAAAGGTATTTTATCGTCGGAGCTGTGCAATTGCGATCCGTGGCAATTTTTTGAGAACACAAGGTCATTATTTTTCGTCAAGATCCTAATCATGTTCTTGAACTGCATCGTTGTCTGATGAATTACTGAGGAGAATAAATGATTGCCACTGCTTGTCGCTCTTCCATCCATCATCAGGTCAAAAATTGTAAGCTTGTTGGGATATACTAATTGCAGCGATTCATCTTTGTCTTTTCGAGGGGAAAAGTATTTCGGCTTGCTTCTCAAGAAGATTTGGGAATGTGCTCTATAAATCGAGGTTTATGGGCGGATTAGCGTACATCCCATTCTTTTACGCGTGTCCCATTCACCAATTGTTTGCTCAAAATATTTCAAGCTCTTACAAACATTCTACTGAAATTATTTTGGAAGTAATCTTCAGACAGATCCTATGTCCTTTTATGTGCATACTGATCTGTAACCCTCAACTAATTCAGTCTCCAAATGTTTGCAGTCCAAATGACTTCATTGCTGAAAAAGTCCATTTTCAGCTCTCGCCCACCTTTTTGGACATAATACCGTAGTGGGCGAGAATTATGGTACAGATTCTCGGTCGTCAATAATTTATATAAGCTATCTCTCGAGAATTGGCACACTCTGGTCTCTCCAGTCAATCTCCACATCTCCCTATTCAGTTTCCATCTAAGGAGCACAAAATCAGTTCTGATAGTTTCAGAACAGAGAATTGTTTATGACGTTCAATTATTTGGCTTTGAGTACTGAAATTGTCATTATTGAGAAAATACATTTTTGAACGTTGTATTAGACTTGTGGAATTACTGATTACTATTGAAATTCTTGTTATCCTAGAACAATCGTCTCTCGAAATATTCTTGTAAATAAAAATCTCAAATTTTCATCTAACAACTTTATAATTGTACTGCTCCAAAGTATGACAAAAGCTTCAAAGTCTTTCTTTTTGAATTTGAGCTTGTGCAGCTCCAGAATATTCTTGTGAATATTGAACACTGAACTTTCTGCTCACGAAAGGATGCTCATCTCAATGCGCTTATCTAGGGCCAGTTTTACTTGGACCAAAATCCCTAACTTTTTCTGCGCTTCACGATAAGCTGAATTGAAGCTTTGAGACTTCCATCTGACAGCTGCTTTATCATCGTTTCGTTCTGCAAGCTTTGCAGAGATTTTCAAATAGTTGAAGCTGCGAATTGTGGTTTCCGTTCCTGTCTATGTTCACCAATTGAGAGGCTACTAGGCGTAGTCTACTTACAGTTTACCTATATGCTGTCCCATAAGTCTTACATAATTCTGACAAAATTTGAAACATTTGGGAAGCGTTTTAGGCTAAATCATATATCTTTGTACGTTTTTATGAATTTTGTCTTTTCCTGTGTATCACAAAATGCTCAGAATAAAATCAAGGGGGCTGATAATGTCACATCGAGGACCCGATATTCAGACATCCTAGAATTTTCATGCAACTTTTCCAAAAATTTTTAACTTGAGCATCTTTCTTTATAAGCTTGTTTTCCTTCAAAAGCGCTATAAAGCCAAATTTCCGTTAAAAACACACGAGCTTGTCAATGATGTAGAGAAAATCAAAACAAATAATCGATATTTACTTCCTGTCGATATTCAAGATTTTTATCATGACACAGTGAGGCTGTCGATACTGCTTATTTTTGAAATTATTCATTTCCTTTCTATCTACCGAAAAATGCACTTTGCCACATGAACTGTGCCCTTGCGACTCCTTGCCCCTTCATCTCTCTTCCTCTATTTACACTGTTCCTCACTGTTATTATCCTCTAATGTACCGTCGCACAATACTTGTTCACCTCCTACCAGCCATCACTTCATTGGAATCTCCACATAGTCGATGGAAAGATATTTCTCATAGTTTTTGTCAACTAGCACTAGGTTTCTATGGTGATAAAACCAGCATCGTTTCCATTTATCTTCGGAATTTTTCCATGTCAATTTTTTATATGAGTCTCGACGCAGATTCAGTATTCAGTATCTGTCCATTTGCTTTGTAAACTCACTTCAGACTATAGATGATTTCGTCTGTTTGCAATGACACATCAAAATTCCAGCGTCATCACAAAAATCTTTTCTTCTGTTTGTTCTTCACACATTGGAACCTCATTCCGTGGCCTTGCTCTATTTCGAAAGTTGTTTTACGTAGCACTTGAGTATTTGCGCAGATGCTTCAACTTCCATTAATTCGGTCTCTTTTCGACCTCGTGAAATTTATACGCCGTATAACCGTGCAGTTTACAGAAACCCATTTCACTTTTTATCCGTTTTAATTTCCTTAAAGCATTTACATAAAAATGAAAAATTGAAGCCCAAGGCTGAAAGCGATAAGATCTATGAAAGAATAATCTTTTTTTTGAGACAAAAAATAACTGGAATTAGTGTTGCACATCCACTCGAGGTGTCATCTCGAAGTATTCTTTTCTTCAGTAATCTTTCAAATAAATAGCTTTTTACGAGTACATAATGCACCGCACATTCCATTGAGTAGAAAATAGCATATCGTCTGCACTTTCTTCTATTCTTACCTGGCTATAAATGTTTTTGTGATGCACTCGATGACGCACGCAAGAGACTCTTCCATAATGCAATTCTGAGGACTGTCGTCATTGCATTGTTCTGGATTTTCTTCGTAGAAATTTTCGTACACCTTACGTTCAGGTTTGCTGAGGGCAAAAACTTACGATGTCGCCCCCCCAATAGACTATTCTCTTGCTTACCTTGTAGCCACTGGAAGCTGTTGGTCATGAAACTTTATGATTTTTTGAATTTGGTATCGATCCAACATGCTGATATTATTGCCTCTGAACTAGTTTATGCTTTCCTCTATCATATTTTTGGCTAAAGTAATTCTAACATGAGTTTCCGGTTTGGCTAAACGCAACAACGGTACAAATTACGAGCTTTTTTCTGTGATTGCACTAATAGTGACTAAATCAAGAGCAACTGATCTTGTTTTTCACCGTGATGCTTTGCACTTATCTTGGGTCTCTGCCATGAGTACATGGTGAAATTCAATCCAGAAAGATACATGATAAGCTACACCATCGGTTTTCTCAAAATTTCTGTCATGACATTGTTCATTAGGTTGTACTAATGAATACGTCATGCTCGATGTTTTCAATACTGTTAAAAAAATCGAGCATGACATATAGTTTGATCCAGTGTGTTGAAGTTGTTTTTATCATAACTTGAAATCCCTTTCAATCAAAGACTTTGTCAAATAGAGATGGAAAATCTCTTCTTTTTTTCTCACTTGGTACGCTGGTAAACAAGTTCCATAGCTTTTCTTTTCCGGTTCTGTCCACATACGAAGTTGGAAAATAAGTTTTGCAACAAAGAACTCTAATCTCTTCCGTAATGTTAAGTTAAAGATCTATCTGGGAAACACAATTGTAGGTTTTCTAATAGTGATCTGAGGAAAAAATATCTCAGTCTAGCACAGAGATACAAGCTGATTTAGGATAACATATCATTGTGGCTATTAAATCGATCGCTAAATGAACAATCCAATATCCAATGTTTATTAATTCAGTTCTTTCTCTGAAGTTCATGCTAATCGTGTGCCTTTTCCATCTTTGATTGACGAATTGATTTGCTTATAATAATAAAGTACATCTTGTTTTAAACGAAGTATCAATAAAAAAGCTTCTTTTTCAAGCATCCTCGAACGAATTTGGAATTTTTGGCACAAGAATCATGCTAAAAAAATATTTGTAGTGAAAACGTTAATGTAAGTGGTATAATGAATACACTTTGTATAATATATTATTTAGATGGAATCTCAAGGGCAAATGAACCCATCAGTAATCTTGACAGTAAGTACTAGGTCGGTGCAAAAGTTTTGTCACGTTTTTTAGTGCAATAGGAAATTTCGCCAATTTCCAAAACTCGCGACTTAATCATTTAGCGAAATTCTCAAAGAGTAGCTGACAAAATTAATGATTTTAGTCGGCAAAAGTTCGTCTACCTAATGGCTACCAAAGTTCCCCCAAACGTCTCAGTAAAAAATTTAAAAATTAGCGAAACTTGGACATGGTGAAAATGAAAGGTTGAAATGTTAAGTGATTATCTCAGCATACTCTTAACGAATCACACTGATAATATAGCAGCCTGCATCGAATACAGCTTGAAGTATTTGTCTACCTTTTCTGTAAAGAGTTTGCGGGTTATTTTGTAATGACAAAACTTTTGCACCGACCTAAATAACTCTCTAGCAGAGACTGAAAAACCTACGGCTACGTTGCAATTCTTGCTCCTCATACTCATCTCATTCTTCTTTTTGCACTTTTCTTCCAAAGTTATGCGCATACTAGCAACATAGGAGAACATGTGCAAGGTCGTGCGAAAATTTCGATTGAAAAGGTCATTGGCGTGAATGACAGGCACGGCCTAGTCCGGCGTCCATCATCATGCGCTTGTTCTGCGCCTACCCCATTCCATGAAAATTATTGTTCCTGTCATTCTTCATTGTATGTATTGCCCGTCCTAATTCGATCAAATCTGTGTTGGCACTCATCCAAAACAAACTTTGAACTCCAACATTTCCAGATGTTGATATACCGACTCTGCCTAGTATTTTCCGTATTTTCTGTAGCAGTGGCTAGGAGAGGTGGAGGAGGATTTCGAGGGTCGTCACGTGCCCGATCAGTTTCTTCTCACCGATCGTCGTCGTCACATTCACATTCACATTCACCACGATTCACGAAAAAGTATGTTTTGTTGTTAGAAAACCAGATTTGTACAATTTATAGAGACAGTTATATAGATATTTCTCCCTCTCAGATTTTCCAAAGTTGGTTCGATTCAACGCACGTCGATGTTTCGAGCGACTGTGTTTGGCGCAGCCGCTGGCTACCTCACATTCCGAGCTGGCCGACATATCATTAATGATCCTAATCAACCGATTATGTAAGTTTTTTCAACGCAGTTTTGAATTCCATCAACTTATGAGAGCGCTTAATTCTCTGATTGTTCGATCAGCGTGTGTGGGGTGTGGCCCGCCACTCGCGAGAGATTCCCATGTGTTAAAAGAGCAGTTTACTGAGGTCAAAGAACGGGACCTGAGTGACGACTTTCTATCATACTTTCCTTTCTCAGCTTTATTCGCGCTTGGTCTTATTCGATGATCGTGCTTGCGAAGGTCTCATTGATACCACTTCCACTTTTCTAAAGCATCTAAGGCCGAAATTTTCAATGGCTGAATTATGCAGTGCAAGAATTTCACAGTAATTGCAGTAAGAAATGAAAGACTTCTGTATTAATTCCTGGCTGGAACAGCGGAAACATAGGCTAAAGTTCCACTGACGATGATTTGAGACTGGTACATTTCATATTTATTCTCGAATTCTTGACAACAAAGCTAGGTAAAAATTTTAAGTATGAAAAGTGGAAGTCAGTAGGTCCGCATTTACTTCGGACATAGAATTCTGATTATTTCGTGATATGCAATTCTGATTATTTTGTGATATGCAGCAAAACTTTACGTTATTAACGTTCCATTATTGTCGTTGCTCACTGAAAAGACTAAAAAGACAACAAAAGTGTAAGAATCATATCGAATCTCAAAAGGTCGGAGGTCTGGAGGTGATTGACTTTGAGTTGTCGCTTTTTGTTAGCGCTTACCGTCGCGGATAGTTACTCCTAAAGTTCCTCCTTTTCTCTCTTTTCCTTCTTTTTTATGCAAAACTCTAGATCAACGATGAATATAGTTGAGTGTTTGGCGATAGTTCTATTAAATAGCGAAACTGGAGAGAAATCCTATTCTCCCACTGATCCAAGGCCAAATGGTAAGATGCTGGGAAAAATACTTCGTAAGAGTTGTCAACTTGGATCACTAAGTCAATGGAACGCACCTTTTTGTTTTTTGATTAACAGTATTTATGATCTGCGCCAAAATTGTGTAGAAATGGAAACTCTGTTCAATGGTCACAGTAGAGCAGACGATAGAATTTATGGGGCTAATAATACAGTCAATGTAATCATAGAGATCAAAAAATTTATTAATATCAATTTAATTTCATCAACATTTCCCTTCATCTCAAACAAAAAACCCTACGGGCCTAACCAGAACTAGTTAGAAGTTTTTTCATATTCTTCATTATTTCTGCATCATTGCATCAGAGCAAAGATGATATTTATGTTGATAATGTTTACAAGGGGTGCTCATCGATCTGTTCTCTGAGCACATCAGCACAGGTTGCATGTACCTCTTATGTTAATCTGACACATTTGCTTGCACCTCTTGCTTCAGTGTATAATCACTCCCTCTAAATCATATTTATACAAAGTGAATCAGATTGCGCAACGACGTTAAGCGAAGATGGTACTGGTCGCATACATTGACAGTTGTCATACAAGGTACAAAAAGTCACTTGCGCAAACATAGAGCTGTGCTTGTGTGAAACACCGATTATCCACGGGGTAAACATTTGCTTGAACTTTTCTACAGTCTAGCTCGAAACCCTAATGCCTTTGAGCTGCGAAGTCCAATAATGGGATTTGCGTTCACCCATGACATTGAAAAAGTGCTCCCGTCTCATCTGGTGCTTTCTGATGATGGTCGGAAAGTGATTTTTGATAAAGGTAAATAATTTTTTGGGCAAAGTACGAAATTTTCTAAATGTTGACATTTATAAGCGCTTTGGGAGTGCGTACCTGTACGGAGATTCCTTTTTGATAAGTTTATCAGGAAAGGCTAGCTCGTTCTATTTATACAATTCAAATTTTTGCATCCGTTGTACCTACACTGGAGGAAGTTTCATTCCACAGAAGATTAGAAAATGATGCTGGTGACTGAGTAAATCACTAATTTCCAGAAGTTACCTCGCATTCACAACTGTGGAGCCAAAGAACCCCGAATGACATGATTTTCTTTAATGTCCAAGAAATCACTCTGGAAACTTCAAGAGAGTTAGTAGCAAGTTTTGCGAAACCGAACCCAATTGCATTGTGCGATTAGATCTAGGTTTATAACTCACACATAGAAACAAAATATTGCCTTAAGTTTCGGAGTTGAACCTAAAAAAATTATCAGAGCTCAAAATTCTGCGAGACTTGAACAGCATACAAAAAAATTCTTTGGAGAGTGACTGACGCCAGTTCTCTTATCCCATTATCTCTAAATCAAACATCACATCTTTCTCGAGATGGATTTTGAAAATGAACAATGCTGTTTACAATTTTTCATGGGTTTGGACCACCAAACCATAAAAGGAATTGAAAAATGCCTATAGGGAGAAGCTTGAGAACTAAAGTCAAAGTTTTTCTTACAATTTTTCTTTCAGGTTTGATTCTCGTCCTTATTATTGGAATAGCGAACTTCAAACGCCCACAGAGGAGTTTCCTGTGCAGTGCGTGAACAAGATTGACCCACAAGATCCACAGTTTGGTCGGGTATGTTTTTATTTACGAAAGGCTGTAGGAAAAGTCCATAGAATTTTCCAGGTTTATTATGAGAATGAAACTCGGCCAACAGAGATAGCTTACGCCTGTGCCGAAGGAGATTACTGTTGCGGGTACGACTGCTGCCAAGAAAGCACTTTCTTCACAAGTCTTTTGTAAGTTTTTTGAAGTTTATTTTGTTCGTCTCGGTCTTCTCGGTCTTTTTTTGAATCAACGGGATTTTCCTTTTCAGCCGACTTTTGGTGCTGATTCTAGTCCTTTCCGTAGTGGGAGTTTTCTGCATAGAAGCCTTCAGATGGGCTCTGAACTGTGTATACATGTGTAAATATGGACATCCACGGGAATGTGAACCACTTAGCATATAAAAAGTAAGCTTTGTCTGTTTTCATAACCTAATCATTCTTCTGTAGTATTTAGGATTTTTCACATATTTTTGCCTTCGACCAAAGTCGCGGACCTCTGCCATATGCCTTAAAACTGTGATCAAAGAAGAATTGTGCTACTTACACAACGGGTGCTATAAGAATCTGTGACGCAACTGACACTAGCGAATGATTCATTTATGTGATACATATCGTTTTTATAAAGATTTCCCTATTCTCTTCATTTCACATTGGATGATGTATTGAGAGTATCGAGAGTTTTGTGAATTTCAAAAATTGCAAAACCTCTTCGAAATTTACTTACTCTCTCAAGGACACGGCAAAAAACTCTAAAATCCCAGGAAGCTCCTGAACTTCATGAAAGGACCTTGTGAGCATATTCGAGCATCGTGTAGGCGGTTTTTGCTGGCATCTGACGTGCAGTAATATCCAATCTAGGACACCTCTCGTCCACGATTGTCGTCAAACCGCATTACAGGCCTATCTGATCTATATTTTATTTATTTATGTTCAAGACCCTTGTGGTGCGCCATAAATAAAAACCGGCAGAGCAGCTATGAACAAACGAGAGAAACCAGCCAGTCTCAACCGTGATCAAATAAACTAGAAGAGTAGAAGAACAAAACGAAGGGCCTACCAAGACCTGTATGTCTTGGTAGGCCTTAGACCTACCAAGACGTACAGGCATCCTCTAGGAGAGTATAGGCTGCCTAATTAAAAGAGACCGTATGGAGTCTATATCTTGCTCACTCTAAAATTATGATGAACCACTCCGTCATTTGAAAGTCGGCGAGCCCGCGGGTAAAGCTAGGACTCGTCCCCTATGAAGATTTGTTTTAGAAAGGAGTGAAATTCTATAGACTCATACTATATGAATGTTTCATGGAGACTTGGTAGGGTCTGAGGCAGGTTCGGCGAGACAACAGCCGCTAGGAGTAACACCTGTTGATAAGACGAGCTGGTTCACTGTTAACAAAAGTACAAGCATGGTTAGTAACACTGTTAAAATGCATGAAACGATAGATATACTCAACCTGGAAATGGGTTGGAAAATTGAATATAAAAAGCTAGATAACCAAGCTTGCTCTTTTTGGCGTATACTGCGGTTTCCCTCGTCCTTGGTCTGGGGTGGAAAACCGTATTCCTTCCCTCATTTGCGTGAGTCAGTTCACTCCTACATCACATCCCATCAGCACATTGACACTGACCGCGTGCATCCTGCTTTCTTATTGTCCATGTTTTTGAAGCATACGTCGAAGCAGTAAGAAACTTTGGATTGAAGAAGTGGGAGCAAAGCAGTATCTTCTCGGTCTTCTTCACTATGTCTTCTATTGTTGTACATGCTTCCATGTTGCACGTTTCCTCTTGCTCAGTTCCGGAGCTAGAAATCTTCCATCATGTTGATATACCCGGGTAGCAATGGCGTACTGGGGGGGGGGGGGTATCAGAGCAAAGGGGGCGGCCCACCCTCCCCCCCGGAGAACCCATTGGTCGAGGGATCTTTGAAAGCTACTTACATGTGTTATAAAAATGTGCAAGCGACTTGTTTTTACTTGTAACCAATTAAAATAATTTCTTAAAATTTTCAAAAATTCAAATTAGCTTTGTGAAATAATTTTCGGGAAGTATCTACAAAAAAAAATTTTCCCTCTTCCTGAAATTTTGGAGTTATGGGCCCTCAAATATTTTGAAAGTCCAAAAAAATTTTAGGAGTGTGCGTGGCTAATGACGCACCTTTATCCGAAAATTTTTTTGCCCCCCTCCTCAAACAGAAATTCTGGGTACGCCACTGCTGGGTAGGTGTATTTCAAGCATTTGTAATTTTCACCAAGTGTCCCCAACGACAACAAGAAAAACAATTATTCGAGGCTTGAAAGATACAGTATCCTCAGTCTTGCAACTTTACTTTAAGTCATCAAAAATAGCGCGAGCGAGTGAATCAAAGCTGCGCCAGATGGGTCTAACTGGCGAGTCGAGAGTCAAATTGGTCGTTTGGCCAAGTAAGTGCCTGTGGTTTCATTTCCTCATCTACTAATCATCATATCTCACATATTCATATATGAATTGTAGGTAGAGTAGGATTGCATTCCTTGAGCTTTTCAAGTATTTTCTACCTACTAAGCGTTAAACTAGTAGCTAAAATACAAGTATCACAACAATTACAGGCCTTATCAAACGCAGTGTCGCTTGCATCAGCATCTTCACTCCCGCGCTAGACTCTGCGTCTTCTCCGTGAACATGCTCTCTAATCAATTCCAAGCGAGGCTCCGCCTTTCCCACGCTCGCCCTGGGACAGTGATAAGAGAGCATGTTTACGGAAGAGATGCGGAGTCCAGCGCGTGAGTGGATATGCTAATGCAAGCGACACTGCGTTTGATAAGCCCTGTATTTGTTGTGTGATAATCTTTTTTCTACTGATTCTTAAGCAGTTAGAAAAGTATAGAACAAGTTTCGTCATAATCAATATCAATTTTATGAGTTGTCCATGTTTGGCTCAGTACTCATCACTACCTTTTCATCACCTTTGCATTGGTAATTCTTTGATATGTAGTTTTTAGTACATATGTTATGATTTTGCTGCGTTTTATTTATCGTTTTCGAAGTAATTACGGTTTAATCACCAAGTTTGAGTTGAGATACACGGCACCCATATACAAGCTCGCGTGGCACGAGTGCAAGTCAATTAAGTCTCTTGATATTAGTCTTATTGTTCTGCATGTTATTCGAGCCAAACTTCAACTACATTGAACACAAAAAGACATCAGGCACTCATTCGTTCCTCTTAACAACGTCTTCAGCCGTTAAACTCAGCCGTAACCTTCCACACACATGGTCAGAGTCCAGCCATTCGTTCCGCTTGTTTAATGATTCTTATGCAAACGATGTCATCAGCACATAGGCAGAACAAGGTGATATAGTTACTGGCCGCCAACTTCGCTCCCATTTTGTCTCCCATTCTAACATACGCATGATCCAAGGGCGCTGATGCTAGTTGTGTACTCGCTGTAAACTTTCCAAAAATCTTGTTATACTTAGTGGAAATACCTTGACTACTCAAGGCATCGATGGCAGCTTTAGTTTTAAGCGAGACAGCCTTCTTCAACTGGATTGGAGAGATAGAGCGGCAGCCTGTACTCTCGCGTAATACTTCGAGCCTTGAGCTTCGAGCAGTGTTTTGTATAACTCTTTTCCGATCCCGTTGAAAAAAAAACTCACATAGGAGTTTCTAGACTACGGGCCGTAGGCAATGGATAGTCACCAATGTCGTAATTACCTCCCTTTTTCTTCAGCAACGCGGTCATGGTAGTCTTCCATAGACCCATACCTTTGATAGTCTACAAACAGGAGTCAAATGTGAAGATTGTTTGATTATCTGTCTTTATAAAAAGTGAGTGTCAGAAGATCAGAGAAGAAAAAAGACTTAAAACAGATGGCAAAAGCAAAAGAAACTTCTAAAAACTGATAAGGACGCTCCAGCGAGTTGGAAATCTTTCGTCTAGCGTTTCGATGCAGGCTTTCGCTCTAGACCAGACCCCACAACAGGGGGAGAATGACGGAAAGCTTTTTGTTTGTGACTGTTACAAAAAGAACCATTTAGAAATAGTGGCTATCAAGAAGAAGACAGATAAGAAAGGAATTAGTTGTGAAAACGCAAAGCTTTTTAATAAGTCGAAATGCACGTCTAAGCCAAATCTAGTTTTTGACGCGTCCTTTGAATTTTTTGCTCCGCATTGACGTTCCTGTTTATTGCGACGTTGTCTGGATTGTTGCGCTCACTATTCTGAGCAATAATCGCCTAAGCTGAAAAAAATTGCTGCGAAAACACTGAAAGAGAACAAGGTAAAAAACGCACTTTTTGCAGACTTTTACGAACAAATTTGGCATAATCGAAGAAGTAAGCTCCGGGAAACTGAATGAAATGAAGTAAGTTCTATCAAATGCATGAAAAACCGCGTGAAAAGATATGAAGTAGGTGAAAATTAAGAGATTTTTAAAAACACGACCTTTGTCAGAGTTGGATTTTGGTATGTTTCAGCGTGAAAGTAGAGATCAAGAACTTCGATATGATATAGAGTTTGCTAAAAAAAATTTCAGAACAATGAAGAAAAGGGTACCAGAGCCAAACGCCCGCTCCGCGCCCCGCGTTTGGGGTAGCGATGTAGCGTTCAGCGGAGACGCAGACGAGCAGCGGAGACAGACCAGAGCCGACGGAACACTTGGCGACCCTCCGCAAGCTCTCAACGAAACCCTGCAACATTATATATCATTCTGATCGCCAAGACACGTCGAAGAGCAATAACAACGTCCAGAGCGATGCAAATCACCCATTAATGAGATAGACCAGCATCCTTGTGCGCGACTTTCTGCGCAAGATTTGAGCGCAGTTTCTCGTTTTTATTCAACTTCATCAGCTTTCCTAAACTTCTAAAACTCAGTTCTGTTCAAATAAGATGTTTATAGAGAAATGCTGTCCTAAATTGTGGAGAAACTTTCACAGAAACCTTCTTTACAGCGTAAAAAAGGCTATAAAAACGCAAATTCTCGGTCTTGCTGGGATAATCTAAAGGTATTCTTCCCTATATTTGCTTCATTTACATTCAAATCGATAAGTAGAGAATAACATCCAGGGCGAAGCAGGATGACTTCTGTTTTTTTCAGGTGAAGATTGTGTCCTCTCATGGCTCTCAAAGTGAAGGTTACCAGAGTACATGGCTCTGTGTATTGAGGGTATGGTAGTATAAAGTTTTTCCTAAGAGGAGAACTAAACTGCGACATAATTGTCCTCCCTAAGGTGAACTGTGGCCGTACTCATCAACGAACCCTAAGAGTTAAACTAACCCTGGAGGGTAAAACTTACCCCCAAGAGCGACTAACCCATATTCATGGACGTAATTTATCAGGGTTAATCTAGCCCTAGCTTAGAGCAAGGTTCACTACTTACCCTAGCGATACTTTTTAACAACAAACACATATTTCTAATTGATATTATCTCAAATTTGTTGAGTCCTCTTTTGTCTCGTCTAATCATATTATAAAAATCATGGTAAAATTTTTAGTACATTACTGTTTGAATCAAAGCGTTTTTGGTTGAGTTACGACAGTATGGCCGTGTAAAAAATTGTTAATATTGGTGGACTCAAATTCGATTGAGGGAGCCCCAGCCGAGCTTCGTTAAAGTTCGTCATATCGATGCCCTCAGTTGGACATGTACTTCAT